TATCACTTGGGTGTAATTGTCTGAAAGTAAAGTTGTTATTAGAGTAATACCGTATTATGTCATCTCGTTAATAATAATTTACACCGATCGAAGTGTGGAGATAACGTGAGAAGTATTTGACGAGCCATAAAACATCCACATTATTTTTCACATTGCAATTTCGTCCCGCCTTATCCTACGCGTGCATCGTGTAATGTATCGTAGCGATAGAGGAAATAATAATACCGTGAATGTAAAGTGAATGTACGTCAATATCAGGCTGGACGCATAGCATAGTTGCGATCGTTCACATATTTCATTGTAAATAACGTACGTGAGCCGAGCGCGGTGCAAATTTCTTTGTATATCGTTGTATTCGTTCTTCTAAATAGCGAAAACTTTTTATTTCACTAATCTACCTTGGAACAAAAAACCTCGTAGAAATATAACTATTAATTTTTATAGTTTGGTGTTAAGCTACTTAATTTTTTAAAATAATAATTTACGATTCGAGGTTAAAATAAATAAATAAATAAATAAATAAATTTATTACCAGACATTTTATTGGCGGAATACGGATACGAAACGGGCTCTATTTGGTGCATATCGCCACAACGAGGCGTCCAAGACACTGCAGGTGTGACGTTCCATCGCGCCTCTTTCTCGTCGAATAATCCATCGACTGACCTCACGTATGCTAATTGTCGCGGTTTTATCTGCACGCGAGCTCACCATCGCGTTGCAATATCAGTTAGCGGTAGATACGATATATAGGGCACGTGGCTAGAATTGATTCGCGTCGAACGAAATAAAATATGTATTTCTTTCTTTTTTTCTTTTTTTTTTTTTCCCACGAGCAGACACGTAGAGCCGAGAAACAGAGTCAAATTCGAACAAATCCGTCGAGCATATCACCTTCACTTAATGAAATCACCTTTTCGACGATGCGCGCATGCAAATATCAGTGTATCGGTCGACGAGATCTCCGACGCTGCAGGCGATGACCGGAAGTCGTGGTAATAGTCGAAGACCGGTCGACCTTCAAATTCTTATCACCGAATCCTTACCGAGGTTCGAATCAGTCTAGCAGAAGCGTGTACATATATATATATATATATACACATATATATGTATAGATTATATATATATAATAATTAGTGTTGGGTATGATGTCGCGAGAATGTGTCTGTATCGCTACATAAGCAGAGTAGAAACAAAGCGGAGTGTTGGTGTTATCTTGGCTTGGACTCTACTCCAACAAAAAACTCCGTTTCTCATAAAGCGGAGAGCAATAAAACAAATCGAGCGATAAACGCGGACGAATAACGAATAACGATCCGTCTTGTTTTCGTTCGTTTCACTTTCACATTTTTCTTCTTTTATTTCTTTTTCAAACAATCACAAAACAGTCATTTATATATTCACAGTAATTTAATAGAAGAGACGAGAGGAATTTCGAATAACGAAAACTAATAATAACAAAAGTCGAACTGTACGTTTGCAACGATAGGAACAGAGTTTACTCGATCGGTAAATGTAGACAGATCGAAATTATCGCGAAACGAATCGATCGCGTTTCGCTGTTCACTGACCATCTTTGCGTCACGCAATTGTTCGCGTTTCCATCGTTTTCAAGGGCATGTGGTGTAATCGACGAGATCTTCGCTATCGGTCACGCCAACAATCCGCCAACATCTCGGCAACACCTAGTCGAGGCGGTATACCCCGTGGTACGCCAGCTCGCCGGTATATCCTCCGCGCTTAGGTAGAATCTCGCTCTCGGATCGCGGATTTCGCCGGGGTGCGATCTTTGGCACCACGCGTGTGGTGTTCGAGAGCGAAGTGCGCAGCGGCGGAGGTTTATGGTTGGCCGAGGACGCGACCGGGGTTAAGGGAATCGGACCTGTGTTGCAAGCCGGCAGGGGGATGCAACGGTCAGTAAGCAATCGGCCCTCCTATCTGCATCTTTGGCACGAGTTTTTGAACATACAGCCCAAGCGTTTCCCGGGTAAAAATCCTGTGAGTGAGATTCTTTCTTTTGAGACTCGTTTTTATTAAATTGTTTGAAACAGGGTTTGAGGTTTTTATTCTTCTTTTTTTTTTATTTTTTTTTTTTTTTTTTTTT